CTAGCTGAAGGTGGTGAACTGAATAGGAGGTGGGTTTTTCCTTCCTGGAGCCAAGTGTGTTGGCAGAACAAAAGGCTATCAGCTACTGCTCTGCTTTTTTCCCCTGGAATGTGTCCTCTGTGCACAGCCGGTGCTGGCTGTGTGTGGCTTCAGTGCTGACCATTACCTTCTCTCCTGGTGGCAGCAGTGTTCATCCATTTAGCTCCAAACATGCCAGCTCAGCTCCACCTTTCTGCAGCGCTCGTGACAGGCCCTGTAGAAAGCTGTAGTGTGCCTGTCCCTGCACCAAGCAAGAGCTCAGCCAGCTATTCACTGTGTCCTGCTCCAAGCAGTGGGGATGGGAGGGCAGGACCAGGCAGCCCCTTATCCAGGGCACTGGAAAGTGATGGAGAGGAGGAGGGAAGGTTGGCATGTTGGTGGTGTGATCCTCCTCTCTGGAATTTTGCTTTTTAAAGCATTGACATTTGAATTTTGAGATCAGAATTGCTTAGTTGCTTCTGCTGTTCTGGTTTGGGGGTTTTATTTTTTGTTTCTTTTTCCTTTTGCAACTCTTAATATTGTACTTCTGATTTTTCCCTCATTACCGAGGGGAGCATCCAAAAAGCAATTGTTAAGCTGTAGCACTGCACTGAATTACTCTGAGCAGCATTTTTAATTTTGTTTTTACCCTGAAAAAAAGTAATGTGGGCATTCTAAAATGGGGAATAGAGGAAAGGGAGGGGACTAAAAGATGTTTTAAAAAGAAAATTCAATCTGAAATAGCCTTTGTTTGCCTCCTCATCTGTGCTGACACTGAGAAACGCATCCGTGGGGCTAAATCTGTGATGCTCAGATGCTGAACAGACTCTGTTGTACTGCAGAAAAAGTGGCCCAGCTCTTGCTTTCTCTGCCTCTGAGCTGCTGGGCTTCGGCTGGTGTGTGTGTGCTGTAATACCAGACCTGTTTTTTAGACTAGCACTTTGTAAGTGGCTGGCTCTGTTGTACAAAGAGGAAAATTAAAGAGTGGTTTGCACTGAAACTGGGTTGTGTTGTATTTTCAGCTTCCGTTATGTCGTCTAAGACTGATGGTTGTGGGGATGTCTGATGCTCCAGGAACAATTTGGGCTGGGGGAGGGTGAGTCCTGCAGAGCCAGTGGGGATCTGGCAGAAAAGAGCTGTGAAGGGCACTGCTCTGTACAGCTGAGTTTCTACTCACTCCAGGATTGCCTTTTCTCTCCTGGTGCTGAGTTGCTGGGATCTAGAGCTCTAGCAAAGCCTGTCCTTGCTTTTCTGTGGCACTGGGCAGCCTTAGCTATGGCTTCCTCATCATTCCTCTTCCTCTGCAGATCTCTGGTGGGGGGCAGTCCTGATCTTCCATCTGTCCATTTTCTCCAGGGCTATCAGGGCTGCTTGTGGCCATGCCACTGATAGTTGTCCTGCAGTCTCTGCGATTTCCGCCTCGAGGCAACCTGAGTACATACGTGAGAGGAGGCTGGAAAAGGCTCGGGAAGTTCAGTGCAGTGGGTTTGTTTGCATTTAGCACTGGTGTGTGTGCAGGAAATCTGGAGGATTGCAGGTCAAGGTGGGCTGTGAAGCCCCAGTGAGAAGGTTTGAAGTGTGTTCATGCCACAATTACAGTATAAGAGCAGAGGAGCGTGATCCCAGCTGAAGCCTCAGAGGACAAGAAGAGCTTTAATTTAGCACAGCAGCTGGTGAGCTTTGCTATGAAGTGCTGACCTGCAAAGCACGGCATGAAAGCCATGGTGGGAAAGCAAGAGGCAGCTTTTGTGCTGTGGAGGTGTTTGGGTGCTCTGTCAGGGTGCAGAGAACACCGAGGGCATGGAGCCAAATGAAATTTCCCATTGCAAAAGGGAGGGCAGAATAACCTGAACCATAAGTTGTGTTGTCAGTGAAGTGTTACTTGCATTCAGGAAAGGTCTGAGGCAGAACAGAACATCTGAGCTAAGGCTTATGTTCACAAGGGGAGATAATTTGGTGAGAACTGAAAACAGGCTCTGTCAGGTCCTGCTTTGAAGAGGGTATGCGATTTCACCCTGAGAAAAAGGGCTCAGAATAAAGAGGGGAAAATACAACAGCTGCAGAGCATGGAAGAGCTATTTAAGCATTTCCCCAGGTTAGGACTGTTCTCCCTGGGGAAAAGATCTGAGGAGCTCCTGCAGGGCAAGTCAGAACAGTTGTTCCCTGTTCTCCACAGTGCAAGAAGATGGTCAGACAGGCACATAAAACAAGGCATTTATTATCCCCACCTGATCCAGTAAATAACAGAATGGGGACCACAGGGAGCAGCCAGGCACCCGTGCTAGGTGCTCTGCTGCATGTGGCAGGCAGGAGGGGCTGTGTGGCCACTCTGAGGTGCTTATAAATGGACTTGTGAAGGATTACATTAGTGGGGAAATAGTGTGTGTTTGGTACCTCTGCATAGCAGTGCCATCTCTGTGCTGCCCGGACATCTGAGGAACTGCTCTGCCCAGGAATGGAAGCAGCAGAGGGGGCAGAAGTTGCCCCTGTGCCCATTGGTGTGCCAAGGAGCTGCCAGGGCAGGAGCAAGCAGAGGGGAGTGTACAGTACCAGGGAACCTTGGTGCAGGCTCGGATACCAGAGGAAGGTAGGTGAGCTGTCCCATGCTTTGCTGTGGGCATGTGGTGAGTATATCCCTTGTGCTATTTGCTTTTGAAAAGCCCTACTTTCAGAAGCTGAATCCTCATGCTGCTTCTGAAGATGCATGAGATACTTGGTCACTAAGTCAGGTTTGAATTGCTTATGTGATGATGTCTCAGCTGTTCAAATGTAAAGAGTAACTCTCTGTGCATTTATTTTAAACGATAAAACCAGAAACATAGGTATGACTTGTCCTTTGTCTTAGGCACCCAAACTTGAGTAAGCTTGCTCTTTGTGAACTGGAACTAGAAGTTTTAGGCTTTTCCTGCACCATACATTTCCCAGGAAGAGAAAGATAACTCCAGCCAGAAACCCACATGGAGCCTTTAGCTCAGATGCAACATTGTGGGTCCTGGGGCTCAAATCAGAGTGAGGTCACTGCAGGTCTGAACATGTTTTATTCTCAGCCTTGCTAAAATACATTTTGTAGTTTTAAGTAACAGATTTCTCTTCAAATTACTTTTACAAGAGACAAAAGCATACTCTCAAATTCAGAAGATGGAGGTCTGAAGTTCTTCTTTAAACATGCCTTCAAAATGGAGGTCTTTTGCCATGAGCTCTTCTTCTACATCTTCTAAGGCCCATTGATGATCCGTCAGTTCTAAGGCTTCCCATTCCGTCTGCATTGGCAGGGACCAGAGATTAGAGAAAGGAAAGCCATATGGGATTACACAGGAACTGCACAAAGCAGTGTTTAGCTTAAAAACTGAACGAACCTCAAGTGCTATTTGAGATCTCTCAATCCTGTCAGGTCCCTGAAATCAGTGCTTTACACTTAATTGGCTATTAGATAGTTGGTCAATACAAAGTACATCCCAGAAATTCGAAAAATTTTATGATCTACTGTTTGCAAACCTGTAACCTTCTGGAATAGTCCAGTGCTTCTACAACAGCTGTTTCTAGAAGCAGTGCTGTTCTGGGGGAGTCGAGTGTTTTGTACTTAGTTAATTCCTTCATTCAGAGACATCTGATAAAAACAACTACAGGCAAAAATTTTGCGACTGTGTGACTCATGTACACAGCCTGCAAAATCAGGTCACGCAGTGCCCAGCAAGAGATTTCTATTTCTTGGCCGGGACACTTCTCCTGCAAAATGGGCTGTTTTCCTTTGCTGGAGCATGTGGTGAGTTTAGGTCTCTACAGGGCTGAGCAGCAGAAGTCCTGTGGATAGCCAGCTGGAAGTGGAGGGACGTGAGCCAGGGGAGCTCACAGTACTGGCTGGAATTGACCTCAGTGCTGACAGTCTGTGACAGAACAGCCACTGCTCCAGCACAGCTGCAAACCACAGCTGCTCCCCTCCCTAGCTGATTCTCTGGCTGGGTGGTTTGGGATTTTTTAACCAGGAAGATAACAGAAGACAAGAAACTGCAGGAGAAGACCATCCCAACTTCCCAGGCAGCAGGCTGTGTGAGGGTTATACCTATAGCAGAGTACACAAATGCAGAAACCAGGACCTTCCCTGCATGCATAAACTCAGGCTGTGAAAGGCAGAGGCAGCCTAACAAGCAGTGCCTATGATAAGTGCTTAGGAGAACTTTCAGACAAAATCAATGTTCTGCTGAACTGACTTGTTTACTTGCTTTTCTTACTCAAGTTCCATCAGGTGCCTGCTGGGCTTGTGCTCAGCTGCAGTACTAACACAGCTTTTGGAGAGTCAGCTTCTGCTTTGGAACTACCTCTCAAGGTAAAGAAAAAAACCTTCCTCTGCAAAAGCAGAGGATGACACATGAATTCAGCTCTTGTACCAGGAACAACTAGCCTATCAGGTTTATTTCAGTGTATCTGGGCTCTGAGAGACCCAGAGCAACTCCCATAGCCTTCATCAGCTGCAGCTCTAATTTTAGGAACAGGAATCCAGAGCAATTCTCTTCCTTGACACAGGGTGAGGCTGAGTTACATACAGCCTATGGTCCTGCAAACTCACAGCAAACAGGAATGCAGGTGGGGAATACTGTACCTTAAATGCTTTGTTAGTATCTGCTGGCATGGCCATGGCTGCCCCTGTCATTTGTTCTTGCATCACCCTAGACTGATCTGCAGCTGCAAAAGAGAAATGAGAGGTTGATTTTTGTGCCATTTAAAGCATTTTCTGGAGCACAGTGCCATCAGGCTGGTTCCTAGCTATAGATGAGAACGTTGCAGAAACACCCAGAATGCAATACTACTGTGCCAGAAAGAGTTCTTAAGACATCTTGTTCCCATCCCCTACCTCTTAGCCAAATTTACAGAAAATGGGCCGGAAAATTGAGGAAAAATACAGTCTTCTACATTCCCAATACAAATCTGTCCTGCCCTGCATCTAGCAGTAACAAATCTTTGCAGTCTTCCTTAAAACCAATACCTGCTAAAAATAAAAGCAAGACTGAGAGCAGAACTTCTGCATGTGGATTTGGTAGAAAGCAAAGCATGGGCTGCTGACCATAGAAGGTTAGGAGCAGTTAGCCAGTGGCTGGTGCAGATCTGGGTACTTGCTGCAGGTGATGTCAAACCTGGCCTGTGGAAAGTAACCTCACTGAAGCAAGAGAGGCTTTCAAGAGCTTTTTGGCTGAAAATTTAGAAATCACTTTCCCAGCCTCACTCAGAAGTTATCCCATGAAAGGAGAAGCCAGTTCTTTCACAGAAATGACAATGTCTTACCATTATCTTGGCCCAGGATGAGAGTATAAATGCTTCTGAGTCCAAACACATTCAAGAAGTACCAGGAAGCAGAGCTCACCCTGACAAATCAGAATGAGCACGGTTGGTTCCACTTCAAAGCTGCCTCTAACCTCATTTCAGCAGCACAGACTACTCAAGGGTTATTAACACATTCAGCACTTTCCAAGTGAGAATGTGACCTTGCTGTTGAGGGCACACACTTACCAGGATGCATCCAAAGTGAGCAGTTCAATTCCCTGCTGCAACATTGGCTTAAATCGCAGTGTCAGAGGAAAAGGGACCTTTGCTGCAGGATAAGAACAAGAAGCTCAGTTTCCCAGAGTGACAGTGCATGGCTGAAAAGCTCGTGGCAAAGCTCATGGGTAGTTCTACTACATGTGATGCAGTCTGAGTGCAATATGTACACTAACAAGTTAACTTGTGTTTTTTAAAATGCTGCAGTCCTGTATTTAATATGAAAAGGCTTTTTGAAACTTCATCAGATGCCCAAACCAGCACAGGTGTTGCTTCAGTGACCATGAAGGGGAATGTCTTAAAGAAACAGTTATCACAAAACCAGTAAGAAAAGCCCCAGAACTGTGAATTTTAAGAAGTATTTTTGATGCATACACCCTGCATTACACTAACCAACGCCCTGGACAGGTTTGGAGGAAAATCCACTGTATCAACTTGAGTTTTAATGAAATTAAATACTGGTTTTGCCTCTACAACTGTTCCTATTTTCTTTGTGACCATGACCAGTACTCTGGAAACAACTTCCTCTCCCCTTCAATGGGGCAGGTAAATCTGTGCAGTCCATGGAGGGAAGAGCAGCAGTGCCACAAGCCAAATTCGTGCTGCTTCCAATTGAGTGCTTCCAGATAGAGGAGCACATCCCTGATGCAGCCCAGACCCTCGAGGTGATCACCAGAACACAGCCAAACCCACACACTCCAGGCACTTACTTGTGACGAATCCCGAAAATGTCAGGTTGATCCAACCAACAATGAGGATCATAGGCAGAACATTGGTTACATTCCCTTTCATCATATCTGTGAGCATGGTAGGATCTGCAAAGCACAGGTGGGATGTGAAGCAGCAGCATATCACAATAAAGAGAAACAAGACCATACTTGTCAGCCACTTTAATTAAGAAACTGCAGGAGGGAGAACAGTCCTATCCCATATCTCTTATTTTTCACTGTTGAAAATACTTTGCAAAACAAGAGGAGCAGCAGTGTGGTGTTGTGTTCTGGGCTGTGTCTCACTCCATCCCTTGCACAGTTCCCTGAACTTGTCTGACCCCTCTGTGAGCTGATTTGGGTAGAAAAAGGACAACCAGCTACACAGATAATTTGCTGCTGAGGTCTTTGGCCACATTAACAAGTTAAATCACTCCAGAGAAGGTCCTGGAGGAGCTGGTGCAAAACATTGACAGACAGCAGTTAGAGCAGGACCTCTCACTTCTGGCAACACTGAGGTGGTTGTGGTCTCGTGACATACTACAAGCAGCTGGAGGTTGAAGCTAAACAAACTGAAGTGATCTAGTGTGTTGCTACGCAAGAGAGTTGCAAGTCTCACTCCCTCTCCTCCCCAGTGCCCAGGCCTCCCTTTCCCTTGGAGGAAAGTGACAGCCTTTTCTGCCTGCAGTTACAGTCCCTGAACATACCTGTCATTGGGGAGGGAGGCACTACCTTTCTTTTCGTCTTCTTAAAAAATCCATCCTCTGGGTTATTAAAAAAGTATTTCCGGGTCAGGAAGGACTGAAAACAGAAATAGACAATGCCAACAGTGTAAGGAATGAAAGGATAGAGACATCATTTCTTGCTCAGACATGCAGACTTGTTATCACAGAATCACAGAATTTAAGGGGTTGGAATGGACCTTACAGATCAGCTAGTCCCAACCCCTGCCCTGGGCAAGGACACCTCCCACCAGACCGCGTTGCTCAAGGCTTTGAACACTGCCAGAGTCAGGGCATCCACAACCTCCTTGGGCAACCTGTGCAAGTCTCACCAACCTCTCAGGGAAGAACTTCTTCCTAATATCTAACCCGAAGTTCTCTTTTCAATTTGTGCCCATTGCCTCTTGTCCTGTCACTGCAGCTCCTAACAAAGCTAACATTGTTAGCTGACATTGCATGACTACATCATTATCCCAAGCTTGTATTAAACCCCTGTGTATCTCCTGGCAGATATTAAACACGCTGGTCTGCAGGCAGAGCTCACTGCAGCAGGCAGTAAACACCAAGCAGTGGCAGCTAATACTAACGTCAGGAGAAACACACATACAGCATTCCTGTGTTCAGCACCCCGAAGCGTTCCCAGGCGCCGCCCGGGGAGCCCTGGCAATGCCCGACCCCACGGGCACTTGTGTTTTTTTTTCCGAGCACTGCTGCCTCGACACTGCCCGACCCAGCCCTGCACAGCCTCTGCCCGCCCACGCGGCTCCGCACCTGCTTTGGAATGTATTTCCCGTTTTCCCGAAGGACTCTGCTCCGGATCAGGACTTGGCTGGAAGAGAGACACGCGGCGTTAGCGGGAGCGCGCGGGACCGCGGGGCGCGCGGCCGG